GTCCCTACCATTTCTGTCCTTTATTGAGCCCATCTTTGCATGAAATGTTCCCTTGGTATCTCTAATTTTCTTGAAGAGATCTCTAGTCTTTCCCATTCTATTGTTTTCCTGTATTTCTTTGCATTGATCGCTGAGGAAGGGTGCAGCAAACACCATCTTCCAACAACACAAGAGAAGACTCTACACATGGACATAACCAGATGGTCGACTCTGAAATCAGATTGATTATATTCTTTGCAGCCAAAGATAGAGAAGCTCTATACAGTCAGCAAAAACAAGACCAGGAGCTGACTGTGGCTCAGATCATGAACTCCTTATTGCCAAATTTAGACTGAAACTGAACAAAGTGGAGAAAACCACTAGACCATTCAGGTATGACCTAAATCAAATCCCTTCTTCCTCAAAGTCTCTATATTTGCTGTTCCCTCTTCCTGGACTGCTCTCCCCTCAGACACAGTCTCTGGCTTGTTCTATCATCTCCTTTCTGGTCTTTGCTTCTACATCACTCTCTCAGTGAGGTCTTCCTTGACCATCCCAATAATGCGATTTAACATACACACCAACATTGTGTATGTGTGTCTATGCTCAGTCCTGTCCGATTCTCTGTGACTCCATGGACTGTAGCTCCTGCCAGGTTTCTCTGTCCATGGGATTTCCCAAGCAAGAATACTGGAGCAGGTTGTCATTTCCTACCCTAGGGGATCTTCTCCACCCTGGGACTGAACCCAATTCTTGCGTCTCCTGCACTGGCAGACAGATTCTTTACCACTGAGCAATCTGAGAAGCTGCACACCAACATTACACGTTACATTAGAAGAGAAGGTGTTAAAGCAATGATTTAAAAACTTCTAACTTAAGAAACTAGAAAAAGGGGAAAATAAACCCAAAGCAAGTTGAAGGAAAAAAATAATAGAGTAGCAATTGATAAAATACAAATTACCAAAAGTCAGTCAAGAATAAACAGCTAAATATTTAAACAAATAATCTGAATATTATATCTATTAAAGAAATAATTTCTTATTGTTTAAATAATAATTTAAACAATTTAGTTGAAAATCTTCCCATATAGAAAATTCCAGGCCAGACGGCTGCATTGATAAATCCTCCCCAAACATTTAAAGAACTAATACCAATTATATAGACTTTTCAAGAAAATGAGAGAGGGAAACCTCTTACAGTATGTAAATCAGACTTTACAACAAAACAAAACAACAGGCCAGTATCAATATACAAGGAGACCAGAGTGTTTCTGGGGCCCTATTACCTGCAGACATCCATTGGAGGGGGTTAAGGGAGGAAAGAGACACAGAAAATGCTGTGAGAAAACTTTTAGTCAGAAGCATCTCCTTTGAGCTCTTCTGTGCAATTACTGTGTAAAAATGTTAAGAGAAAATCAGAAGTAGAAAGGTGAGATAATAACATATGAATGAGAGCTTGATGCCACAGGCTTCCCTGGCTGGTATGCCTCAGCTCATTTAAGAGCTGTCTATTTTCTCATTAACTGTACAGACCAGGCCTGTCTGAGTTTATACTTATTTGATAGGGACTGAACAACAACAAATGCTTATCAAGCCTGTTAGCTACAAAAATGATCAGAATTCCCATAGCACAATGGGAAAAACAATAATATGAAAGATAAATCTAAGGAGGCTGAAGAAAAAAACAATGTAAGAACATTTCTTCTTTCTCAATTCAGTTAGCTAGAAATCCACCCCTCCCCCCCAAAAAAGGACAAAAAAATGTAGATAAAGCAGCAGCTTCAAAGACTTGATTCACCCTTGCTTAAATTTCCAAGAAAGGCCATGCATTAAACCCAGCCATATGAAATATTAAACTGCCAGATTTGTATTAACTTAAATGTACAATGCTCATTCTTGCATAATGAACTAAGAAAAATATTAAGTGAGATAATCTCCAAAATGCCCTTCTCCGATTTTAAAGACTCAATTGTCAGAAACCTGCTGTTGGCAGGGTTTTTCCACTTTGTTTTGACCAGCACTGGATGAACTGAAAAATGAAAATCTTTTAAGCAGCTACCAAGAAATAAGACTTGAGCACAACCATGAGTGAGATGATATGGAGAATCAGGTCCTTTCCCAGAACAGTTTGATTTTTTTTTTTCCTGATAAGAGCATGTGAGACTGGTGCTATCTGCTCAGATGGAGGTAGGTCCCTGTTCTGGAAAACAGTGAGATACTGCAGACACAAAGCAGAAGGCAATGCAGAGAGTGCTGACCTACTTTCTTCCCTACTCATGACAACAGTAAATCACCAAAAAATGTGGGTGCTTTTCTCCCCCAAGCAACAAAATAAATCCACCTTTAGGTTACTTCGTCTGAACTCAACTTTAATACCACAAACATTTCGAGTTAAAATCACTTAACTCCTAAAAAGTTAGTACTTTAGAACAGAATTTCCCATTTCAAAAGTTAATCTATTAGATGAATGGAAAGATGGGGAAGAAAACTGATCTACAGGTTCCATCTGTCATCTCTCCCCCCCAGAAAGGAACAATAAGGTCTAGGAGCCAACTCCACACTATAGGTACGGTCACAGAAAAGCCCCCAAAAGAGGGGCCAGGGCTGCCTGAATGCAGCAGTATGGGTATGAAACATAAAGAGACTGGAAAAACCCAACACATATTCTATATGGTGGACGGATGCTGACAGTAGCCTCAAAGAAACATACACTTTAATACTGTCTACATGCTACAGCATATTAAACACCATGTTAAACTACTGGTGAATTAACTAACTAGTTTATTCAAGTTGATTAGCTTGCCTAGGATTTATCAAACAAGCCAGTGATGCCTGACATCACTGCCGGTACCAGGCTGCAGAGAGGGACAGCCATTAGCCACCTTAAAGGAGAGGTCCTTCGAGTATGAAGGGCCAGGGTAGGTGAGATGCAGCGCTCAGAAATTTGTTTTACCCTCCTCAAAGAATTTCAACATTTTAGTTACCAATCCTTTAAAATTGGAACTTAACAAAAAATCTGAATTGCGGACTTCTCTTTACAAATAAAGAAAGAATCTAGCGACAATGGGCTGGAATGGAGTCAGTTACCTCATTCAGAAATGGCACCTGCTATCCAGATTGTCATTACCGTGCCTGCAATGTCTGCTGTATTTGCCGTCATTGAACCTGCCCAGCCCTGTTTGCGAGCCAGGGTAGGAAGGAGCCTGGGAGAGAATCTGGGAGAATAATCACACCAAGTAACACCTTTTTATCGAGGACATACACCTAATGGCAACTAATGGTACTTCAGTACTCTTGCCTGAAAAATTCCACAGACGGAGGAGACTAGCAGGCTACACTCCATGGGGTCACAAAGAGTCGGACACAACTGAGTAAATTCACTTTCTTTTCTTTTGATACCCAATCAGGCATCATCTGGGTATTGTCCTGAGGTCTGTTGTAGTAGGAGAAATAAACTACAAAAGAGAGGGAGAAAAGATGCTTTCTGATGCAACCTAAAGCCTGGGCAACAAGTCCCAGCCAAACGTGACTTATGTACACCATCACTCTTATTAGAATCTACTAGACTCTCTTTTTCAAGGCTTTAAGATCATTTATATAAATACTCTTAGTAGGTGTGATCAGCGTATGTTACCATCTGTTTCAGCCGACATGTGAAAGCATTGTCGCTTTTCAAGCATTTAAAAATCAAATGGAGAACCAAAGGCATTAAAAATAAAGCACTGATAGGGTAATATGGCAAACCTGAGAAAAGAATGCCAAGTCTGTAAAATCTGCTCTAAATTTATTTCATACAACTTGATCATCCATGAACTTTCTGGAAGTGATTAAATTCACCATGCTTATTGACTGGCCAAACAGACTTAATGACTAGATTAAAGCTGAGGAAATGTTGATCAGATCATGTGGATCCACAGCTGACCCAACTCACTAACACCCAGAGGAAGCAACTTTCATTTGCAAACTAACCCACATGGTTGAGAAAGAGAACAAATGCCCTAATTAACCGGCATACCAGTCAGAATCCCAGATTAATCACCAGTCTTTACTTATTTTGGTCAGGAATCATGCATATGAAAGAGTCAAAGTAATGGTTACGGTGCATCTTAAAGCTGGTGGCAAGCATAACACAGAAACTTCATTGCTGTGATCTCTTATCTCTAGTTCCCTTGGTTTATTCCTCTTTATTTGTGGTCAATGTCATCTGGCAGGACATTTAGAAAGAAGTTTAATGTATATCTTCAGAGTATGCCCATGACCATTCTCTGCCTGAGAAACTGGAGAGGCAACCTCTTCCACCAAAACAGCACCGACACTACTCAGAAACCCCTGTGAGAGGCATGGAGTATCAAGCCACACAAACAGGATCAGCACACCTCACGGGAGGGAGCAGCTCATCTAACATTTAACAAAACACGCATTCTTCTGCGTGCTTCAGTCTTTCTAAAGCCCCAGATGCTTAACCTAGCCTCATCACCAGCCTTACAATATGCCATTAGAAATGGAGAAAAGTTCTCAAATTTTACCAGTAGTTGGCTGAAATACCTTATTAGTATCTGTATCATAAGGGTACTTCAGAACACAGCAGATTAAGGCTTCCAGATCTTGAATCTCACGCCCTCTAACTAGATCCAAACACTGGGCATAAAGATGGAGTGTGGGTGGGCAGCAGTTATCCTTTCAGGCTCATGGGGTAACAATCCTGATGCCAGGACTACCACATGTTGCAGGTGGCCGTCCCTTAGAAAGGCCCTTAGGAACGGCCGCTGCCTGCCCTCCGTTTGCCAGCAGTGAAAAAGGCTATAGATTTTAAATGAAGGGTTAGGAGACAGTAACATGACGCCTGAAGGAAATATCACTGGAAGTTAAACATACATTTCTCTACATGGACTATGATCAGTATTTTGTCCTCAAGGCTTCTAACTAAGATCCTAAAAATGAAACATAAAATAAAATTCATTTCCACTTTAATAACTCAAATCCAATTTGGTGATAGCTTAAACACTGCTGGTTGTACTTTACCTGAGGACAGAGGGCTTCTAGCTGGCTTGCAGACATTCGAACAAGCTTTACACCTTCTTCATTGTTTGAGATGGAACAGGCCAAGTTGGCAACCTAGAAGAAAAGATAAAAAAGATCTTTGAAGATTTTTCTCTTTTGACTGCAAAGGAAAACAAATGTACATCTACCCCATCCCTGACCTTTAGAGAACAAATGAAAAAAGCACCAAAGGTGTTTTATTTCTCACAGACTGATTACCTGCTTATGAGGACAAATTTTTTAGCTCTGTGCTAAGGAAATTAAACAGACTCCTAACACATGTCAAACTGTAAGTTGGTGGCAGAACCCTGAGAGACCCTAGGGCTTGTAACTCACCAGTTTTACATGGGTTCTAACCTGCCTATACAGTAACCTCAGAACAAGGGTCTGCTGGTATGAGCAGTGATGTGAGGAAAGCTAAGGAACCGAGGCACTCAAGAATCACTGGTACCCTAGATAATATACGTGTTTCGATGCTGTTCTCTTGAAACGAAACAGATCACCAGCCCAGGTTGGGTGCATGAGACAAGTGCTCGGGCCTGGTGCACTGGGAAGACCCAGAGGGATCGGGTGGAGAGGGAGGTGGGAGGGGGGACCGGGATGGGGAATACATGTAAATCCATGGCTAATTCATTTCATGTATGACAAAAACCACTGCAATGATGTAAAGTAATTAGCCTCCAACTAATAAAAATAAATGGAAAAAAAAAATAAAATAAAATAAAAAATAAAATAAAAATAAAATAAAATGAAAAAAAAAAGAATCACTGGTACCCACAACTACAATAAAAATGTATTTTGCAGCTATTCCTGAAGGAAGGGAATCGAAATTCTAAGTTGCTGTTCTCATTTGACAGGTGAATGGATACTTAAAGTCAAGATGAGTTTTATTTGAATGTGAGGCTATTTTTCAAATAAAAAAGAACAGCATTAACACATTGAGATGGACTTAAGGCCATCCTCACAAGAAATGGAAAAAGAAACATAGATGATATCCCATAGTTAAGAGCAAAACTGTCCTTCAACTGGTTTCTTAAAAGCACTGACAGCTGGACTCTTTCCTGAATGATACTACTTCGTTTGAACTCAAATCTTTACCTTCCCATCCAACTGCCTCAATGACACTACTCATGTGGCCAGAAACAATCTTTCCAAGTTGTGTCATATTTCCTCTGCTGAAGCTCTGGCTGTGCTGAATATTGCTCTATAGTGGCTGCTAGGGCCGTGATCACTTATCCATGTTTCTAAATAAATAGGCTTGCCAATTCTGCTGGCAGTACCAAGGACCAACTGAATACATGGTGCTAAGAGATATCTTCTCCCCAGTTGCAAACTGAGTTATGAATGATAGACACGTAGGCAGTTGAGTATCAGAGGCACACTCTGAGAACTTAAAATGCCAGAGTAAACAAGGGCAATGGCAATAATCTTTGATTTTCACTGCTCCAGCCAAGTTAAGCACATAGAGGCACAAGAAAAACTATATACCATTACTGTTGTTTGCAGTGTTACAGTTAGGGATTATCAGCTTTCTGTAAGACTGCTAACTATCATAACTAGAATCCTGCAATGCTTAATCATAAGGAGAAACAAAAGAACATGCAATTTAAACACAAAAATTATGGAAAAAGAAAATTAAGTCCGATTTTAATGTGTAGGGGCCTTCAAAATCACATAAAGAAGTAACATTTACACTCCCTGAAGGTTACAATTCCACTTTCCAGTGTCAACTGGACGTGAGCAAAGAGGCACTTCTATTCATGACGACAACCTATAGAACTGATTGTTGATTTCTATTTGTTTGCTTTAAAGTGCTGCAAAATATGACATAAAACTTTTACAAATGTTATTCCTCAAATATACATTTTATGGTGCTCTACCGAAGGAGAAAGCTTTAATTAGAAGTGTTTACAAAACCATAGCTTCTATTGCTTCACTGCCTTAAGAAGGCATTTTGAAACCAAATACAAAATTGGAGGCTGATGACTGAATTAGCAATTTGGGACTAACAAAGACCCCTGGTCCCGCCCCATGCCCACCATTTTAGGAGGCCAGTCAAATGTTAGATTCAGGAAGGCCTGTCACTGTTTCTGCCTTCAGCTCTCTAGCCACCACACAATTCTATATTCTCCCAATTTTATGAATCTGTAAAACTCAGAAAAAATATTTAAGTTAAGAAACAAAGGAGTACAACAAGTATTATCTAAAGCTGAAATGGCTTAATTCTCTATACCATCATTCCTGTTTTCCGACACAAATCCTAACAAAAGTTATGGAAGACTGATTCTTTATTTTAAAACATTAAAGTGTTTCTGATGTACTGTTGAAGCAGTAATCTTCTGCAAGAGTACACTGCCTGTTTCAGGAGGCCACCCTGCCTGCCCTGGGAGGAGGAAGCGGGCGCCTGTCACTGACAGTCTTCTCCAGATGAATGAGCTTCAATTCACCCTCCAGGGACAGGGCTACTCACTTCTAACAATGACAAATGTGCAAATGCAACATCTCAACCACAGCTCTCTTAGAAGCTAAATTCATATACTAGCGCCAGGCTAGACTGCCATGAAAGCTGGGTATGAGGGAAGGGGCTTCCTAAATAATCTCTGTGGGACTCTAGAAATTTGGATAGCAGCTAACTAGACTGAAGAAGTTTCTAAAGTCTGAATTAAAAACACTCAAAGCAGCTGACTTCCACAGAGAACCTAACAGAGCTGAGACTTTGGAGAGTGATGAGTCTTTAATTTGCTCTGGGAATAAATTGTCTTACCTTTGCAACCACGGTAACTTCATGTATTAATAATTTAAATGTCTATGATTCCCGCTAATCTAAGAGGTAGGCTAAGATTGACACTATGACTCCCACCTTTGAAATTGTGACTGCTTCTGCACTACCTCTGCCTATTCCATTTAAGTGTGGACCTTGTAGACAAGCACAACATTTCAGAAAACTTTCAACTATCCAAAAAAACAGCCCTGGGCTTTTCTGGTTTTAGTAATAATTTGTGCTGTGTGGAAAAAAACTGTCACAGCCAAGCTGTGTAAAATCAACGAATATGACATCTGTACATGACAGAAAAGACAACTTTTCAGACACTGAGAAAAGCTCCAAAACTTCTTTATTTAAATAAAAGTTATTAAGCAAAGTTATAAGGCAGAAAAACTATATCATTATGACAAATTTTCCTATTATACATGTGTTAATGACTTTAAATAAATTTAAAATTTAAGTCAAACACAAGTTGCTTCCTACTGCCCCTTAACCTGGAACCTTTACAGGAAGAAAAAAAGAGATTTCTTTTTGTGCTTAGTAATAAATTAATGACATACTCTCATAGTAGTCTATACCTGTTGTGGAGGTGAAACAAGTGAGAAGAACTGTGAAACAGGAAGCTGTTAAGTCTAAGTAATGACCCCCACAACCTGAGTAGCAGGCCATAAAGTTGAAGCTCAAAACCTATATCACTTGCTACATGGTTTTAGGTCAAGCTATCACCTGAGAGTTCTTCTTTAAAAATGGTTAAGCTATCTGTACTCTCAAAAAAATCCAAAGTAATAATAAAATCAACTTTTCTAAACTTGCCATATAGGAAGAGAGAAGTCCCAACTGCACATCATATAAATATCAGAACCACTCAAGAAATTTTTAACAATCATTTCCAAACCCACAGAAGAAAAGATGATGGAACGGAGGTTAAGCTTCTAACTTTCCAAGTTCCAGGGAAGGGCCTTTTGACGATTTTGTCAGGAGAAATAAGATAGCTTACCCCAAAGTGAAGCACACATGGGTGACAAGAAAGCTCTGAACTGGACTATGGTGATGACTGCACAGTTACGTAAATTTAGAACAACTAAATTGTACACTTAAAATGGGTGAATTTTATGGTCTATAAATTATACCTCAATCATGTATTAGTATCTATAAGCAACTGGCAGAAGTAAATATAAATGGAAATTTTCAGTGATGGAAGGTAATCTAAACCCAGGCCTCAAAGAACTCCCACATGTGAAATACCAGAAATTTGAACCCACCAAACTCAGCTGGTAAAGAATCCATCTGCAATGAGGGAGACCTGGGTTCAATCCCTGGGTTAGGAAGATTCCCTGGAGAAGGAAAAGGCTATCCACTCCAGTATTCTGGTCTGGAGAATTCCACAGACTATAGTTCACGGGGTGGGAAAGAGTCAGACATGACTGAACAATTTTTGCTTTCACTTTCATACAAGGAAATAGGGATCTTGGGCAAAAGTAAGCAAAAGAACTGTGTAATTGGATCCATGACCGCAAATAATCAAATAATCAAAAGTGCAGTATTAAAAAATGTTTTTTTACATTAACAGAAATAACAAAGTATACAAAATATAGAAAAGGAAAAACACACTCAAAAATACCTAGGCAGACTTGAGAAGGATCAAAATAGAGTATCAAGAGGAAAGTAATAATGACTACCATTTCTAGAAATTTAAAATAATACTGACAGGACACTGCTGAAAAGAGAATTATTAATCTGGAAAGTCAAACTGATGAAATTATTCAGGAAAACCAAGACATTTTCATGACACAGAATCCATAAATTAAGAAGCATGCAAGATAAATTGGGACTGTCTACTACTGTGAGGATTTCAGGAGGGAATACAGGGAGAAAGGGGAAGAGGCCATACTCAAAGAGGTAGGTGACAATGAAAAAATTTTCAGATTTGGGAAGACATTTTAAGCGGAGTAAATAAAAAGAAATCTACACTCTGACACACTGAAGTAAAGCTTTAGAACAAAGCCAAGATTTTAAAAACAGCCAAAAAGTAAAAACAAATTATCTACAAAGAAAGCTCAATGAGACTGCCTGTTGCTTTCTCAACAGCAACAATGGAAGCCACAGACAGGGTAATAACACTTTCAAATCCCTGAAGAGGGTGGTGGGGTGGAAATCGTCCTAGGATTATACAGCCAATAAACTACTGTATTTTTTCAAGAATTAAGACAAAATAAAAAATTAACAAAACCAAAAACAATCTCAGAGCACTTATTCCAGACAGATCTTTCCTGCCTCAACTAAAGGCGTTTCATACAAAGATGCTTCAGGG